TCTTCTAATCTCAATGCTCTCACCCATTCCCTTCTCCTTATACACATATTAGTATGTGGATGGCTTTAGTGAGGAAAAGAAAGGTAGAAAGTGAAGCAACCTCACATGATACATGTCAAGCATTTGAGAGAGCAGTGGTGAGTGATCCTTGGCTATGCAACATCTTGGAAAGGTTGAATCTTTTGATTCACCGAACCAGCACGAGAGAGAGAGAGAGAGAGAGAGAGAGAGAGACAACTGTGACAACTTGTACTTACATCTCACATCATCTTTCACTAATAAAAAAGAAGACTGATCCATGAAGGAAGAGCTTTGTCCTGCTTTCTTACCCATAATTTGAAAGCAACTAAAAAAGACTCCTCGCTACTGGAGGACCATTGAAAGTTCAACAACATGAACTTGTAGGCCCATATCTCACTTTCTTTCCTTTCACTCTTATTCTGCCATCATTTGAACTGCATTTCTTTTTCTTTTTGCCCAAAGCAAGTTAGGATTCAGAGACCCCATTATGATTCAGGATAAGAAATCCGTGTTTGGGTAAAAATAGGAATTCTAATCCCAAGTAAAACTCAAGTAATAGCTAAGTAATAAAGGGACGAGTTTAAATTTAGACATATTGATTTAGAATTTTAGCAATTCTTTAATGTCAGATCACGAGGAATTTATTCCTCTTGAATATCTTAGTTTTTTCATGAATAGTCTGCTTTTGACCGGACGATAAAGAGAATTAGTCGAGGTATACATAAATTGACTCAAACATTCTTGACAATTTAAACCAAACAAAAAGATAATAGGAATGCTATTAAAACCTAAAAATTCGACCGAATTTCTTAACTTGATCATGCGGCAGCTGAAATGGTCCAATAACATTATTATAATTACAATTGATAAACTTGTTCATCGGAAGCTGCTTTTATCATTTGACACGTCATCAGAACATGATATTAAATTTGATTTTTGGATCATAAAAATATTATTCTTCGGGTAATAATGCACTAACGCTGTAAGCTAAAGCAAACTTAATGAATTTTAAGAACATTGTAATCACTACCAAGTAAATAAAAAAACAACCTAGGAGCCACTAGATGGCATAATAATACAATTAGTGGGGAAGGTGCAGGTCCAACCAAGGATGTAGTTTTTTAGTGAATTTTAACCTTTTTAAGATCTCCATTAATGTCGCTTTACCTTGGCCCCTTTGAGTTACTCAACAGGAAAATCAGTCAAGGGGTCCCTTAAAGATAAAGATAATTCAGTTTGTGTGTTGGAGTCCCACTTCATTTATTCTTTCTTTGGCATGTGTCTTTGTCATCAAAGGAAACTGACAACTCCAGGGTGCAAGTGGATTGAATAGATAAATACTATAGATATAAATCCACACTAAAATGTGGTCCCAGATTCATATCTTTCATCATCTTGACAATGGTAAGATGCCAGTATTTTGCGGGTGATTATACATCTCGAGTTTGTGTTGTAACTATGAGTTCAAAGGAAGCGAACGAGGGCTGATATCAAAAAAACAAATGATAAAAATCAAGCTTTGTAATTCTATAAATGAATCCATACTCTCCTTGTACTTCTACAAAGAACATATATGATATATTCATGTGAATTGTGAACTAATATTAGGGTCCTAGAAATTATCTCGCCAATTTATTTTGTTGAACCGTCTCTTTTTAGGATAGGTTTGGTTCAACTCAGATTCAAACTAGAACTTTGATACAATATTCAGAAGACGCTATTCCCACTAAGGTATTGGCTCAATGGGGATCCCAATCATGATGAATAATCTTACATTGCATCATATGTATGTTGGTTAAATGAAAAGAAAATGTGGAGGTGTGCAGAAGTTGGTTCGAACACTCCTTACCGTTGAAACAAAAAAAAAAGGAAAAAAAGAAAAGAAAACGTCTAAGTGAATGTTTGGTGTCAAATTGGATTTCATTTTATAAGATGTTATCCTGGATTCAGCCAAATACCTCTATTGAAAATGTCAAATTCAACCATTTAAAGATCATGGAGAAGAATAAACGGTTAGATTTGTCAAAGGTAAGATTTTTCTTTGCTGATTTCGACCACAAAAATGGGGATTAGAGAAGATTCTTATGGCTTGGGAGGATCTTAACTGACTGTTTGGTTGAAGATTCCTATTCATTGGGAGAGATGGAGATTCCATTTGTTACAATTTTTTTTTCTAAATTTTGTGTAAATTCATTTTACATATAATTAGTTCAACTAGAAGTAATGATGAGTTATTTACATTGAAAAATTTTGAGTGAGAGTATCCTAGATTTAATTGTGGCTTGGGAATTGTTGGCCTAGTTAGAGTTGCGGTAAGTCTCCTTAAGACTTGTTGGAGGGTTTAACCAACTCGATTTGTAAGCGTTTGTTGTTGAGTTAGTTAAGTGTTTCGATTGAATAATTGGTATTAGAGCATGGTCATTGTTTCAAGACTCAGGGTTAGTTGGGGGAGAGGGAGGAAGATTGTTGATTTAGATAGAAGTACAACAAGTCTTCCCTAAACTCACTTGAGGGTTAACCAACTCGACCCGTGAGCACTTGTTGTTGAGCTAGTTAAAAAAAAAAAAGTTGTGCTTTCACTAAATCTACGAGTCTTGGTACAAGGGTAAGTATTTCGATCCAACAAAAGCAATCAAAGGGAGAATATCAACTATGGTGAATATACATTTACATGGATGATATCACATTATAAGGATACGACTATGCTGGTATTATATTCTCTCTCTCTCTCTCTTTTTTTTTTTGACAATTGTCACATGTTTAATGCAATGGTTTGTATAAAGATTGCGTGATTTTTAACTAAAAAAAAATATTTATCTTGACACGATTGTCAAGTTTAATTATTACCCATCAATAATAAATCATTTGATGACTCAATTTGAATAATTTGATGTACAAGTGACATCATAAGAGGCAGTGGCATCCATCCATATCCAGTGTGAAACGTAGCTGCAATTTTTCAATCAAACATGCAATTGGAAACAAAGTCGAGCATTAGAAAAGGGACATGGTTGTTTTATAACCTAGTCAGCGTTTGGTTGAGAGCTTTTTCTCTACAAAAGTGGTTGGAGAAAGTTTCCTTCTAATTGCCTAAAACGTAAAAATTGTATGTATACCCATTTTGGTTTTCAAATTTGGGCAACTGAAACAGCTAAGCTGTGTGAATACAATAGTTTTTTGGTCAATGCTTATCTAATCAATGTCAATTTTATCATTAAAAACATTGATTTTTAATAGACTTAAAATTTGATTTAATGAGGAGTTTTATTTAATCCATCAGATTAATATTAAATTTTAATGTTTAATAGGACTTATAATTAATCAAAAGGTTATAGTAAATTAAATTAACAAATTAAGTCAATAAATTAAGTTTAAATAACATTATTCCTACTTAAATTCATTATCGGAATTTAACACTGAGAAGAAAAAGAGGGTATAACAAGTAATGTTACGCGAGACCAAAAATTAAAATTATTTACTTACTGAAGCGAACAAAGTCTCATTGAAAAGCATCTTTACAAATGTGTGATTGGTTGGAAAGTTCTTCCGAGGAACGTGAGCTTTACAAGACTTTGGGAGAAGAAAAACTATTGATACCGTGTCATCAATACCACATGGTATCATCATATCAATAATCAATAATATTGATTATCAAATGGATTTCGCTGTTTTAATAATTATCAATAATCATCTTATTTAATAACTTTAATATTGGAATAGTAAAATTTATCGATCTTGTTTGTTATTTTATAATTAATTAGTGATATTACGTGATATCAATAAATTATAGTTAAAAAATTAAATATTAAATCAAAACATTATTAATAAGCCAACATTGTTGTCAAGTTATTTAATGAGCATGACAAAACCAACATCAACATCACTTATTCTATATTTTGGGTTTAAGGTAATTTAACATTACCCGGTTGGCAACAGCAACTTCAAAATGAGCCACACCTGAAAAATAAAGCAAACGTAATAGCAGTAGTAGTAACAGTAATAGTGTACAAAACGGAAGCTGTTCCAAAAGTCAAACTTCACACCGGAAAAAAAGACAAATCAACGTATAAAAAGAGATCGTCAAACCAGCCTCCCTTAGTAACTTCGGTCGCTGACATCAAACGTTAGCATATTTACTACTACTACTGCTGCTCTCTAACGTTATTAACTTCTTATAGACTTCCCCTTTGTTTGTCCCCTTTAAAACTATTTTCCATTCAAATTTAACTCAAGTTCACATGTTACAAAATAAGTCTATAAATTCAGATGTTCTGAATTTAAATTTTGACAATTCATTGGTACTAAGAAATTTATTCCTCATAAATACTTCTGCCTTTGATAGGATCAGAAAAAATATTAATCGAAATATACGTAAACTGGCTCAAAACAATTCAAACAAAAAAATAAAAAACTTTGGTCACAACTCCAAAATCATTGTTATCATTCTTAAATCTTTGTTTTAGATATCAAAATCTTGTTCAAGCATTGAAATATTGCATATAATATGTAGAAGAGTCAATAATTTAAGTAATATCATATTTACTATTCAAAATTTTAAAATATACAATGATTTAATATAATAATATGATAAAATATATAAATAATTAAGTTACATACTCCAGCTAACACTCTCCCCTAATTATGATTCTTGACAGCTTCTTTTTTAGAATTTAATTAAAATTAATATTATTACTATTAAATTAATATTGAGACAATTCATTTTAGAATTAAAAACAAGAACAAGCATTGAAATTCGCTCTGCTAGCAGTATATATAAAAGATCCCTCCATCCCAAACCCACATGGAATCTATCCCCTTTCCCTCTCCCTCTCCCACTCCCATACTACTTCTTCTTCCCTAATCAAACCTCTCTCTCTTTCTCTCTGTATATATATACATATGTATATTTTCTATTAAATTACACAAGCCCATAACCCAATCATCCATACACTACTACTGCCTCTCTTAGGTACATGGACATGGAGTCTGCGACACCATCACCTCCGTCGGCACTGACAAGGCTCAACGCCTACGTAGCCAAGAGCCGTGTGGGCAAGCGGTTTAAACTGAACGAACGCAACACCGCCTTCACCACCGAGCTCCGAGCCGGCACCGCCACCTTCCTCACCATGGCTTACATATTAGCAGTCAACGCCTCCATCCTCTCCGAATCCGGCGGAACTTGCTCCGTTTCTGACTGCATCACCCTCTGCTCCGATCCCAATCTCTCTCCTACCAACTGCACCGGACCCAATCTCCGACTCATCCCACCTGACGAGTCCTGCAAATTCGATCCTGTCAATCCTGGCTACACGGCCTGCATCGAGAAAATCCGGAAAGATCTCATCGTTGCCACCGTAGCTTCGTCTCTCATCGCTTGTGTAATTATGGGAACGTTCGCAAATCTGCCATTAGCATTAGCTCCGGGAATGGGGACGAACGCTTACTTTGCTTACACAGTGGTGGGCTACCATGGTTCTGGTAATGTTTCGTATAAGAGCGCTTTAGCTGCGGTTTTCATTGAAGGTCTCATCTTCCTCCTCATCTCCGCCGTCGGTTTACGTGCAAAACTCGGAAAACTTGTTCCCAAACCCGTCAGAATCTCCTCCTCCGCCGGTATTGGACTCTTCTTAGCCTTCATCGGTTTACAGAACAACCAAGGCCTTGGACTCATTGGTTATAGCTCATCCACTCTAGTCACCCTCGGGGCATGTCCTCGGTCTTCACGTGCCATGTTGGCTCCCGTTCAATCATTCGCGAACGGCACCGTTGCTCTCATTCCCGGCGGTACTGTTTCCGGCGACATTATGTGCCTGAATGGTCGCATGGAAAGTCCCACATTCTGGCTCGGAATCGTCGGCTTTGTTATCATCGCGTATTGCTTAGTGAAAAATATCAAAGGCGCTATGATTTATGGGATCGTCTTCGTAACCGCCGTCTCGTGGTTTCGCAACACCAAGGTCACAGTGTTTCCGAACACGCCGGCCGGCAACACCTCTTACCAATATTTCAAGAAAGTCGTCGACGTTCACAAGATCGAAAGCACCGCCGGGGCTTTGAGCTTCAAAAGCATCGGAAAAGCGCATTTCTGGGAAGCCTTAGTCACTTTTCTCTACGTCGACATTTTGGACACCACCGGAACTCTGTATTCCATGGCTAGCTTCGCCGGATTTACAGACATCAACGGCGACTTCGAAGGACAATACTTCGCATTCATGTCCGACGCTTCGGCTATCGTTATCGGATCATTGTTGGGTACTTCACCGGTGACGACTTTCATCGAGTCGTCGACGGGGATAAGAGAGGGTGGCCGGACGGGGTTGACAGCGTTAACGGTGGCGGGCTATTTTCTGCTGGCGTTCTTCTTCACGCCGTTACTGGCGTCGATACCGGCGTGGGCGGTGGGACCGCCGTTAATACTGGTGGGTGTTTTGATGATGAGATCAGTGGCTGAGATTGACTGGAACGATATGAGGCAGGCGATTCCGGCTTTCGTGACGTTGATTTTGATGCCGTTGACTTATTCCATAGCCTACGGATTGATCGGCGGTATTGGCACTTACATTGTATTGAACCTCTGGGATTGGGGTGAGGGGTTTTTGAGAAAATTTGGAATTCTTGAGGTGCCAAGGAGTAATGGGGTCAATGGAGCAAATAGTCAGAGTATTAGGGATGGAAGTAGCAACAAGGCCCTTGAAGTTTAGATAATTATAGATTATGTGGTATTAAAACTTGGATAATTTTTTATGCACCAAATTTGTGCGCCAAAAGTTACACCAAATTGACTGCAGTCGTTGGATCAATAATAAAACCCACTGATCCAATGACTATAAGTAATTTGGTGTAAATTTTGGTACACATTTTTTGTGCACATAACATTACTCTTAGAATTTGGGTTGGGCCTTTGTTTTTTTTTTTTTTTTTTTTTGTCACATATTAATTTTTACGGAGAAAGGGATATAAATGGATTCTTTAGGATATATAATGTAAATAAGATTTAGCTGTTATTTGTTAATTAGCAATTTTCCCCTATTTTGTGCAATATTTATAGAAGATTATAGTTACTTATTATAAGGCCCTGAATTTTTCATATTTTGATGTGAAACTCTTTAGTTCTTGTTGATTTTATTCAATGGCAATGTCTGATTTTATACTAATTTCTTGTGTACAGTTGCAACCCCCTCTTTGGGAGATCAATCCACATACTACAAAGGTGCAAATCTACAAGTGTTAGTGTTTATAAATAAACCCAACGCAGTCTAATTGGTCACCTTTGATTTTTTAAATAAGACAGTCAGTTAAAGAATGATTCCTCCATTCAGACCTTTTCCTCGACTCATTGTTGTATGTTCGTCATTTATTCTCTATCGATTGATTACTATTCTTCTTTGGGTGCTTGTTGCTGTCTATACTTTGGGTGCTATGGATTGAATCGATTGTAATGACCAAAACCAACCAATAATTTCCAAGCACACTCTTCCCTTATCTAATTTTTTTTGTGGTGAAAAAAAAAAATTGAAAGCAAAGAAATAAAAGGATATGTATCTCCATTTTTCCCTTTGGTAGCTAGCTAGTCATGGAAGCATTATGCTTTGGCTGGCAAATTCAGCCAAAACAGATATGCTTGCAAAGTGTTATACCCTCCAAAACAACTATGTTGACAATCAGCAAACAGGATTATTTGTTTTGAAATTTGGAAAACACATGTATCATGACATGTCATAGTCATTTCATTTCAACTTGGCCCATCACTTAGTTGATGAATTGGTAAGTTCAATTCTCATTGAATGCATGTCAGTAGGACCTTCAATTAAGTATATTTGAAATTGGCTCGGTATTAATAGAATTGATCATGCTTTTAAAACAAATTGACGGAGTTTTGATTGAACACCAAACATGGGTAATGAAATTTAATATTTTATTTTTTTTGGCATATGCACGTAGGTTGTTAAAAGGAAAAAAATCTACTTTTATAGTAGAGAACAAAGGAGAAAACAATAGAGAAAGACCTACCAACATATGTTTTGTGAAAAGCTCTCAAGAAGATAAAGTAAAATATGGCGGAACAATTGAAAATAATTTTCGTCGTACCTTAAGTTGAGAAGAATTATTGACAAACAATGATTATGAACTCTTTCTTGTTCCGATTTAGAAGAGGATTTTTTTAGATCTTTTTCACTAATAGTAGGTACCTAGCCTTCTAATATAAATACCCATCCATAATTAAGTAATCTTATAGAAATTTAAGAAAATGATATAATTTATTAACACAACGATATGTGAAGTAATAGAGTACCAATAAAGAATTTAAGGGTTATACTCACAATAATACTATTGAATCATATCATTGTAATGTTATTAAATTAGTAAATTAAATTAATTTTTAAAATTTTAATAACATTTTTCTATATAATTATCAAAATAAATCCTTAGAAAAAGGGTCAAAAGGTTGACAAAAATTGATCAAGTAATCAACGCCTAGGCTATGTAAATTGTAAAGGTGAACTCACCGTAGTGGTCTTAGGTCAGGTCAATGATGGATTCCTTGCGGAATCCTTCTTCTTCCTTTTATCTGTGTGAATGGGACAACCTTGTTTCCTATTTGTGAGTTCGTCCATTGTTTGGCTTCAAGTTTGTTTTGGAAACAGTTTCCTTATTAAAAATAGTAATCCTCCTAAAAAATCCAAATTCCTAATGAAGTTTTCTATAGATATATTCTATTTGGGTCACGTCATTTTCAAGTCGAAGAAGCACTTATTGTTATTACAATATTTTCTCCATTGTGGGCTATAAACAATGAAAGTAGTAGTAGCCTGTTTTCTAATCTCTACATATCACGTCAAATTACGTCTAAATGTCAAATCTAGACCCAATTTGAAATGACAAATGCCTTAATCACATCCATTATATATCTCAAAGCTCCATCTTTCGGAGTGTTAAATCACAAATTCGATGCAAATTCGGCATAAATTCGGAAATTAAATATTTAAGAAATTTTATACTTAAATTTTTTAAAATTTATCACTTAATTATTTAAATTCATACACATATCTCTTGAAGTTTATACGTACATAACACTTAAACTTCTAATCTCAATATAATATTCATTAATAAATTATGCTCAAACACCTAAAATTTGGAAATGTGTAATACTTAAACTTTTCAAGTTAGAAATGTTACATTAAGACATTTTATTAGTTATAAAACTAATGAAAATATAGATCGAATTATTTCAATTAAAGATATAAAATATTGTATACATTACATAACCCAGTTGAAACATAATGATTATACGCCTGTAATGCATTGTATGTCCCATAATAAGTATCATTCTTCTACCATTATTTAGAAGTCGATGACTATTCATAGTTATTATCTTGACACCAAAGAAGAATTCGACCATAATAGGTATCATTTTTCTATCATTTTTTAGAAGTCAATGACTATTCATAACTATTACCTTGACACCAAAGAAGAATTCGACCATAATAGGGTATCATTCTTCTACCATTTTTTACAAGTTGATGACTATTCATAGGTATTACCTTGGCACCAAAAAAGAATTCGACCATAATAAGTATCATTTTTCTACCATTTTTTACAAGTCGGTGACTATTCATTGCTATTACCTTGGCACCAAAGAAGAATTCGACCATAATAAGTATCATTCTTCTACCATTTTCTACAAGTCGATGATTATTCATTGCTATTACCTTGACACCAAAGAAGAATTCGACCATAATAGGTATCATTCTTCTACCATTTTCTACAAGTCGATGACTATGAATAATTATTACCTTGACACCCAAGAAGAATTCGACCATAATAGGTATCATTCTTCTACCATTTTCTACAAGTTGATGTTTATTCATAGCTATTACCTTGACACCAAAGAAGAATTCGACCATAATACGTATCATTCTTCTACCATTTTCTACAAGTCGATGACTATGAATAATTATTACCTTGACACCCAAGAAGAATTCGACCATAATAGGTATCATTCTTCTACCATTTTCTACAAGTTGATGTTTATTCATAGCTATTACCTTGACACCAAAGAAGAATTCAACCATAATACGTATCATTCTTCTACCATTTTCTACAAGTCGATGACTATTCATAGCTATTATCTTGGCACCAAAGCAGAATTCGACCTAATGTAGAAATTTAAGGTTGTATAACCTAGCATAATGTTTAATGTCTTCACTGATAACACTAATTTTCCACGGGGGAACATCTTCATCGGAGCTAAGGTTGATAATATTGAGACAGTCATACATGATAGTAACATTTGTGATCAGTTGGGCTTCAGCAAGGAGGCAAGATTGTCTCACTGCCTCTACTTCAGAGAAAATGCTAGACACTTTTGGGAGAGTGTTTGCAGTGCCAAACTCAAGTTCTCCCCTTTCCTTGCAAAGCACCACTCCACATGCAGCCTTGGCAAAAGCAGACTTAAAAGCACCTTCACAGAAGATACAAAAACCAGTACCGATCACTGGTGATCTCTCGTGCCTTGCCACTGGTGGATCCCTATGTTCCTTTGATACTTCAACCTCACCAATTCTAAGTTGGTCTTTCCACATGGCTTGTACACGGATGATAGTGGCATAGGCATTAACCTCCTCTATATTAAAGATGAATTGGTTCATTGCGTTCCGGATTATCCATCCCACAGTAGCCATTTTTCCCAACAGATCAAGTCTGCATTGAGTCCCCTTCACCAACTGTAAAAGCATAGATGATCTTTGGGCCACTGACAAAAAGGATGAATCTTCCCACTATATATTAAGGTCCACTCCAAACCAAACTCTCTTGGTCCATTCGCACTCAAACAGTATGTGTTTAGTGGACTCCGGAGCCATCATGCAAATTTGGCAAATGGATGATAGGCCACTCCTTCTCTTAAACATGTTCTCCCTTCTCTTGTGGCTAGGATGTTCAGACAAGCTTTCCATCAAAAGAGCCTGATTTTTGGTACCACCTTCATACTCCAGATGGATTGCCACAGCTTGGGATGAAGGGAACAGGAGGAGCTAGCCTCCGAATGACCCAAGACTGCCTTACTTCCCAATCCGCATCCAAACTTGACTGTGTAGACTCCCTTACTATTGGGCCACCAAATTCTTCTATTCCTTCCACCTCTAACTGGCAGTGGAATGGCTTCAATAACATTCATCTCCTACCTTGAAATCACACTACTCATAGTAGAGGTATTTCATCCTCTAGGATTCACCTTAATGATATCCTCAACCTTAGATATAGAACAGTCTTGGGGATTTGGAGAATGGATTGTTTGGCTTGGTAGGAGGGGAATCCATTTATCCTCCCAGAAATTTATATCACAACCACCTCCTGCCTGCCACATGAGACCTTTGTCTAGCAGCTCTCTCCCATGGAGCAGACTACTCCAGACCCATGATGGTCCCACGCATCGCTTTCATCAAATCCTCATTAGGAAAGTAAATTGCCTTCATAAATTTAGCCTAAAAAAACTCAGGCTGGTGATTCAGCCTTCAACATTGTTTTGCCAAGATGGCTTGATTTAGTAGCTTGAAATTCTTGAAACCCATCCCTTTCATAACCTTAACCTCTGTCATTTTATCTCACTTCCTCCAACAGATTCCCCTCCTGTCCTCACTATCTTTCCACCAAAAGTTCCTTACATAGCAATTTAATTTATCACAAAAGTTCTTTGGAAATTCCCCCACTGACATGACATAGTTTGGGATAGCCTGAATCACTGCCTTAATCAACACCACTTTACCTGCTTGTAAGAGACAACAACATT